CATCTGGTCCTGGGCTTTTGTTTGTTGGAAGATTTTAAATCACAGTTTCAATTTCAGTGCTTGTGATTGTCTGTTTATATTTTCTCTTTCTTCCTCATTCAGTCTCAGAAGGTTGTACTTTTCTAAGAATTTGTCCATTTCCTCCAGGTTGTCCATTTTATTGCCATATAGTTACTTGTAGTAATCTCTCATGATACTTTGTATTTCTGTGGTGCCAGTTACTTCTCCTTTTTCATTTCTAATTCTGTTGCTTTGAATCTTCTCTCTTTTTTTTTCTTGATGAGTCTGGTAATGGTTTATCAATTTTATTTATCTTCTCAAAGAAGCAGCTTTTAGTTTTATTTATCTTTGCTATCATTTCCTTCATTTCTTTTTCATTTATTTCTGATCTGATGTTTATGATTTCTTTTTTGTGGTACGCGGGCCTCTCACTGTTGTGGCCTCTCCCATTGCGGAGCACAGGCTCCGGATGCACAGACTCAGCGGCCATGGCTCACGGGTCCAGCTGCTCCGTGGCATGTGGAATCTTCCCAGACCAGGGCACGAACCCGTGTCCCCTGCATCGGCAGGCGGACTCTCAACCACTGCGCCACCAGGGAAGCTCCAAACTGTATGTTTTTATTCTTTTTTCTTTCCTTATTGCACTAGCTAGGTCCTCCAATATTTTGCTGAATAGGACTGATGAGAGTCAATATCCTTGCCTCCACTTCTAATCTTAAGGGAAAAGCATTCAGTGTTTTAGCAGTAAATGATAATATTTATAGTTTTTTTTTAAAACATAGGTTTCCTTACCTTGATAGCTTTCATTCCAAAGATCAGAGTACTAATGTGAGGGTCCTATGAACTGCTATACACTTGAGGACCACAGAAATGACCACCAGGTGGGTCCAAAAACTCAATAGATCACTGTGAGATTGACATGAACTAGGAATCCTTTATTGCCTGGCCCCTGTAGCATCTATTTTAATGGGGTCATGGTGACACTTTATGTTCCCAGGTACCAGAGATAGTTCAGATACAACAAGTCTCTAAAGATTCTAGTGCACAATGACTTAAGTAAATTATTGAAGATTCCTTTGGGGTAAGGACTGGAGAAGTATACAATATATATACTTGTCATGGTGTTGCACAGTCCTTCCTCATAGGAATCTGTCCTCACTTTCAGTCTGAGAACTGGTGAGAAAATTACCAAGCGGGGAGAGTGGAAAGTAACTGAGTAAAAGATCATGACATTCAATGGAAGTAGCTGACCTTGGTCTTTGTATCATTCATTTTTGACCTCTTTTAATTATATTTCAAGAAATTCCCATGTTGGCTGATCCTTACCCTAAGGAACATCATATCTATTAACCCTCTTCACAGATTCTACAGGTCAGGATATCCTCTTCCCTTGGCTGCATTCCAACCTTACTGCCCTACATGCCTCACTCTTAAGGAGACTCTCATTTTCAGGGTCAGCGTTTCCACAACCTGAGAATAAGTTCTTATTTAATTTTGCATCCTAGGCACATCTCTTGCATCTCCCTGGTTCTAGCCCTCCAGTATTTTTCACCTAACCTGCTTTTGAAGGTTAAGTTCTTCCACTTAGCCCTGCTATCCTGGGATTCTATATTCCCCAGTGCTGCTAAACAACCACAGCATCTCCTACCATAAGATACAGCCTTCAGAGAGCCAGCCACAACTAAGTTACTGTATAATTTTGGTCCTTGTCACTAGTACATTGCTTATTGTCCTCAGGGCTCCCATGAAGAAGATAGCAGGTTGGTCTTCTGGTTTTATAAATTAGATCATTCTAACACGTCTACTTCTCTGAGCCTTTGATCACTTCCTACTTAGCCTGCCATGGCTGTTCTGACATCTCTACACATTTAATATTGACTATCACTTTTACTAACCTTCCCAAATCATCCAGAAACATGTAAGAACTGACACTCAGGGCACTTGCCAGGGTGTTAAATCTTGTGTTAAGGGAGAATATCCCCTATCCTGACAAACTTTCCCTTATCCTGCTTTGGGATCCCCTCCTAGACATGCTCTCCTATCTCCAAACTCATGCTAACTAGGTCCCATAGATCCTGCATATGATTTCTCTCTTCCCTCAGCAGGCATGGCATGCCTTTAGTCAGTTCATGCTGAGATTTGATTCCAGCTATTGGTCTGATGCCTGGAGGGGAGGTGGGGGGTAAATCTTGAGAAAGGCAATTATGGCCTTATAAGATATCTGTCACATTTGATTACTCTGCATAGTCTTCAAGCAACAGGGGCACTATCTTATAACAAGGGATACTGGACCAATTATATAGGCTTTTTGGGTTTAGGGGAATCTGGCGTTCATGGTTCTGTAGTGCAACTACCCAGATATCCTCATTGAAAATCTAAAGGCACCATTCCTTCCAAAAGGGCCCTGAGTCTGAGTAGGAGGCTTGCCAGGGCTAAGAATTCACCTTTTATTGAAGTTCTAGTATTCCTTTATGATTATACCCTGAACCTGGTCCTTAGCATGATTAGCCTCCCAGCTACCTGAGATAACGGTTTCTTTAAATAGTAACTAGTAGCTTTCACACTTGGATTTGAATTGTGATTGATTGTGTTGAGCTCTCACTTTCAGGCCTGTATCAATGGTACTCAACTGTCCCTTGCAAAATCCTAATAATTGCTATTTTTATTACACTTCTCAAATGTCAGAGATATTGCACAGCCAATGCATCTCCTTCCATCTACATGCCATGAGAGTTTACCAGGTAAAAATGTTTTTTGTTGCAAGGATACAGCAAGCCAGGACTATCAATATTTCATGAATCACCAGAGATGGAGTCTTGATGGTCAGTTGGCTGAAGAATGATCCAATTCTAGAATCCCATTCTTAGAGTTTGCTTCCTAGATGCATTAGTGGTACAAACTGTCTTCAGTCAGCTTCCTCAGAAGGCATTCAGATGCATGTGAATTTTTGATGCTGTGATCTTCGGCAAAAACAAAAAGAAAAAACAACTCTAGGGGAATAAAGCAGCAGGATACGGAGAGAAAGGAGCTGATCAAGGACTGTTCTCAGGTTAAGTGGAGAATCACCTGATCCATGGTGGCTCTAGAGAGTAGATCACCACAGCTTTGTCCAGCCTTGAGGCAAGGAGTCATAGCTTTTGTATTCCAATATCAGTTGGCATTCGTTGCTCCTGGGGGACAGGGTATAACGTCCTAGATACATCAGGATGGGGTGTTTCTTGCCATCCCAGCACATTCTCTGGAGGAGGTCACAGGTCCAAGCCATTAACTGCAACACCAGCAGCAACTGGAGGGTAAGACTACTATTGAGTAAAGGCCAACAATGCTGATTTACTCCCAAATGGTTGGTTCAGTGTTCTGAAGGAAAACCATTATTGGCCAGTAAGTGGAAATTATTTTGGTATAAAGAAAAAATCTTGAATTTATAAGCAGTCTTGGGTTCAGAATTTGGCTTAGCTGCTCATTATCTGAAATGTTTGGGGGCAGTTTACTTAATCTATTTGAACCTGTTTCCTCATCTATGCAAAGAGGAAGGTAAGAACCAGGTCACAGGTTTTTCTGAGGATCAGTTATGATAACTTAGGTAAAGTTCTGGTACATGACGTGCTTAAAGATTAAAAGCAGCTCAGCAAAACTTTCTGGTTAATCATTAAATTGCTTTATTGTGGCTCCTCTTTCTAAAGGCAGCAGCCATTTAGTAGGTTTCCTATTTTTTTCTTTCTATCTAGGAAGTTGAAATTTAATTTTGTTTTCTTTAGTATGCCAAAGGTGTTCACTCAGCTATATTTGGTAATGCTTCTCATTTATTTTTGAGAAGTAGGCATTTTGGCTATTATTGATATGTAGAGTCACTCCAGGTCAGCTGAGTAGTGAAGCTCATTAGGACAGTTCCCAGAACTTAGTCTTCTCTTTTGTTTAGCCAACTATCTTCATCTCCTCTAGGAACAGTAATCCACAGTTGGTGGGCAAAGTATAGAATCCACGTTAGTAGTTTCTTCTGGCCCACTAAAGGAGACAAAATTTAGGAAATGATCTGGATGAATAGACAGGCAGTCCCAGATGGTTAGGAGAAATCTTAGTCTTGGGGGTTAATAATCCATGAAAAATAACACATGTGCCTTCCATCCACTTGTCTTTTTGTGCTTAGAGACAAAATTTGGGGCTTCACTCAGATCCAGCATCATTCAGATATTCTGAGAGTCATAATAAATCTTCCTTTCTTCTTAACTCATCATCCTCAACAATTTAACTTTCTGTGCATGCTTTTTCTGTGCTACAAACACAGGCTAAAATAGTTTCTACACTAGAATATCTTCCTAGAGTGAATTATTTGCTTTTTTATGTGCATTAGAAGACCCAGGAAATAGGGAAAAGAAGTTCCTACTGAAGTATTGTGAGAATAATTATTGTCTGGGCAAGATCTTTAGTATTTTCACACTGAGAGACATTTTACTCTGTTCTGGCTAGACTGTGGGCTATCTAGGGAGAAACACAATTTTCTAGACTTTTAAAAAACCTATTTATCTGTGAGCAATTCATACCCCTGATTAACGAAACCACTCCCTGGACAGGGACTGCTTCTCAGACGTCTTATCTTCCCTCATGCTATGGCTTCTACCTCCTGAGGAGACAACTGTGCATCAGACACTGTGCATCATGAGCTGAAGTCCTTGCACCATGTGTTCTTGTTTACTCAGAGAACATCATGTATATAAATCCAGAAAGGATTCATCATGTTCTGTATCTGAACTGCAAGAAAGTCTTGGGGTTACAATAGTAAATACATACAGAATTCCTGAGGCCTCCAGATGCTTCTGCCCAAGAAGGAGGCTTCTGAGCTTGTCCCTGTCAGAGCTATGCCAAGCACCTGGCCTTCTAGTCACTCCCCCAATCCCTCCCCTTTACTGACGCATAGCTGGGCTTTGTCAAGGCTGCTTTTCTTTGCTTAGGCACCATTTCAACTGTTGCTTACTTTTCCTCATCTTGATCCAAGGTGTCTGAGAACAGCTGAGTGCCACTGTGGCCCCTCTGAGACTGTGCCATGGCCACCAATTTGTCTTGCATTTTCCCAGCACTGCATTTTTTTGGGGTCTTGGTGCTATTGCTGTGCCCTTCCTGCTTGTGTGGTGAGTACAGAGGTTATGGGAAAAGGGGGTATTTTCTCTAACATATGTAGAAAAATACCCAATTAAGAATTAATCAAATACAGTGAAATGCAGGGAGATCAGCTCGGTGCTTTGTGACCACCTAGAGGGATGGGATAGGGAGGGTGGGAGGGAGACGCAAGAGGGAGGAGATATGGGGATTATGTATATGTATAGCTGATTCACTTTGTTATAAAGCAGAAACTAACTCACCATTGTAAAGCAATTATACTCCAATAAAGATGTAAAAAAACAAAAACAAAACAAATTCAGTGAAATGATGGTATATCATGATCTTTTTGAGAGAGTGCAATGAACTATATTAATAAGAAATAAAATTTAAGTATAAAAGAAGTTGTTCCAATTCAGATAGAGGATTTTATAGTGTCTGGAATAACAAAGTGTTGAAATGCAAAAATTCTTGTGAGGCTGCTTTAGCAAGGAATAATCTTTAATTTTTAAATCAATTTCTTGAATTTAAATGCTCTAAAATGCTTAATACAGATTACTTTCCAAATAGGTTAATTATACCATCTACAATCTTAGTTATTGCTTAATTTTTAAAAATTCCATCCATAAACAAAAATATTTTCTGTTATTACAAATACGGAGTAAATTTTCTAGAGTAAAAATATAGAGTACTTCATGAATTCTAAACCATTATATAAAAGTAAGGCATGGTTATTGAAATGTAAGAAAATCTTTAACAATGAATGAGAAGCCAAAGCATTTGAGAGAACTTACCAGAACTGAAGACCTGTCACTATGAAAATTAATTTATTTTTACAGAATTTAGATGGAAATGTCCTCTAAGCAAAGTGATGTTTTACTCTTTTGTTAGCTAACATTTTATCTAGGAGAATTAATTTTCATAATAAATTTAAAATATTTATGAATTTGTTCCCTGAAACAGCTGTCTTGGCATAAAAATGGGAGATTTGGGATAGCTTAGAGGGAATATTCTGAGCTGAAAATAATGGCTGAATGCTCTTATGTGAGCTAGCTTACTGATTTAGAAATGTGGAAGCCATGTTTTCTTCCTCACTGAGACTGGTAAGGGGGAAAGCATGGGTTAATTAAGGAATATCTATATTTGAAAGATGATTTTTCATATCAGATGCATGAACATTATTGAGGGACAGTATTAATTTAGGTTATAGTATCAGTACAGGATAAAGAACTTTATGCTTGGGGGTTTTCAGTCCTCCAACTTCATCTCTAAGTTCCCCTCTTCTAGAGACTGAGGTAGTAGAGGAAAGCCTTATCAAATTTGTCAACAAGTCTTTCAATTATTTTTTCATGTTTCTGTTTCCCTTTTCCTTTCTCTTCTGTTCCCTCAAATCTTCCCATTACCCATGACCCTGACTCTCTGAAATGGCATTTAATGTCTGCCAACTCTGATGTAAATCTCCCTTTCTGATTCTGCCTCCCCTCTCTCACAGTAATGACCTTCTGAGGCCAGAGACTTCGCCATTGCCTCAATATCCATCTGCCTCTCACATCTTGTCAACTACTTACCTTCTATCCGTCCTTCAAGGTATCTCCAACTTATTCCTGGATGCCTTCCCTGGATACTCTGGTGCCCAGTTCTGTCACCACCTTCTCCTACAGAACTAATTTCCTGTTCTAATCCTCTGGCACAAGTGTGACTAGTGTTGTGGTAGAACTATTTGTATGGTTAAATCTTATGTTTTAAAGTACACTGCAAGAAAAGCCCAGTACAGAACTGCATATATGTGCTTACTTATAAAAACTAAGAGCCATTTTTATATTTTTATGGAGGTGCTTAATCTGAGGTTTAAGAAAGGCTGTATGGAAGCTGTTGATTTATACACAGATGAATTTATTTTCCTCACAACTAAAACAGAACTTACTTGGAGTTACCGTTACTATGCTTTCTGAACCCTCCAGAGTTGAAGTTTTGGGAGGAGCACAGGTAAGGGAAACAAGAACCTGAGCTGGCTCTTGGCCTCATGGGTATTTAAAGCTTATTCTCTCTTGTGAGTTTTTTTTTTTTTTTAATTGGTCCTTCATCATCACTGAGGATCTTCTAAGTGCAATTTGCAGTTCAGAGTCTGGCTGATCCAGGGATCCACCTCTGATTCTGGTTGTTCATTTCCTATTTCCTATCTCCTAGGTATCATCTGGTGACTTCTAGAGTTATTTTGTTTTTACAGAGGGCTTCCTCCCGCCTCAGGAGACCCTTTTGGACTGGCCTGAGGACAATTCCACCATGACTGTCTTTCTCATGCAGCCCATTTCTAATCTACTTGAAGTGCTAACTCAGCCTTGCTTCTGATAATGTCAGGAGTCCAGGCCAACCTCAAAGCAGCAGAGATCTGTTCTTCAGTCTCACCTTAGAGCCTTAGAGTGCCTGTCACTAGACAGCCCATCCTTTGCCTTTTAGATTTCTCAGACAGGAGCTCGACACTAGTTTGCTGTGACTAATGTCCCCCCAGCCTGAAAGGAGCCACATTAGGTTTTCTCAGTGATCTCCTGAGGGTCCTTCTCTCAATGTGAAGCATAAATTCTCTCACACATTAGCCTCACCTGGGACTACAGGTGGTGTTCACAGGATATCGAAAGCTTTATAAAAATACTTCCCCAACTATTATTCTTAAAATAATTTAAATTTCTGACCTGTCTTAAATTCCTGACATTGTCTTTAAGTGAGGGAGGTAAGAGTTTTCTAACTGGTTTCTGAGCTACTTGCTTAATCAAATATGGAGCATTGCTAGACTTTGCAAGTCACAGGAGAGTATTGTTCTTCAGCCCAGACTTTCATTTTATGGCCTTTACGCATCCACTGATGCCGTAGAAAGTGAAAGTCCAATGATCAGTACCGAGAGCAGAATTCCAGAAAGTGACAGTGGACTTTGTACTAACACAAACCTGAGTTGAATCCTCAATTTGATTCATGTTACTGGTATTTACTAGCTGTGACCTTGTACGGTTGTGTTTCCTTTTCTCTAATGTGGATCTGATGCTCATACGGCATCAGAGAGTTAGCATGAGGATTAAATGGTATACCATATATATGATGATTAACACAGTGTCTAGCAAGTGGTTAAGAACTCAATAAATCATTCCTAGTGATTTTAAGTAAATGAAACATACCTCAGCAGTATAATTTAATGACTTTGTTCTATAAAATGGGAAGAGTCCATCACTCTGAATAGTTAATTAAACTCTAGCTCATTCTCTTCGACCCTTCTCTTTTGCCATTCAAGACTGCGACATGTTTCCTAGCATTGCCCATGGATCCTATGAAGATGTGAGTCCAATTTTTTCCTTTACTACTGTGGTGCAGTATAAATGTGATGAAGGATATATTCTGGTTGGAGAAGAAAAAATCACCTGCAGAAATTCACATTGGTCATCTCTAGCTCCTCAGTGTAAAGGTAACTCCACTTTACTGATGGCCCTTGCTAAGACGGTAGGACTACCATGCAAGTTCTGACAGTATGGTTTCTCCCCAGCGAGAGGCAGCACTTAGAAATTTGTATGTATGTATTTATTTATTCATTTCCTGTATTTAATACTTGGATGTGGTACTGTGCTGTTTAAAAAATATGTGCAGTATTAAAAAATATTTGTCTCGAAAATATTCTTCTATGTTATCTTCCAGAGCTTTGTGCTTTACCTTTCACATTGATATCCCCAGCCCACTTGGAATTCCTACGGGTTTATAGTGTAAAGTAGCGGTCAAAATTTGTTTTTCTCCAATGAGTAGTCAATGAACCCAGCACCACATTAAATGGATCGTAGTTTTCACACTGCTCTACAGTACTACCTTTATCAATATTCAAGAGTTAGAGATAATAATTTTTAATTTAAGAGAATAGTGAGGATTCAGCAAAATTTTAGTGAATTCCTGTGAAAGTTAGAATGAGGACTCATGGAAAAATCCCAAACGTCCTTGAAGTATCTGGTATCTCCATTAGTACCTGGTGCATGTCATCACCTCCTCATAGAAAAGCTGACCTGATATGAGACCAAGATTAGGTGTGCATTTTTTTTTTTTCTTACCACACGGCTAACAGCAACTCAAGTGTCTAATTTCCCACCATTGTCTCCATTTAATACAGGAAGATACTAAGGGCATAAGAATAGAAATTACATACTTAAGATGCTGAAAAGAGTCAGGTTTTGACATACAGTAGTTTTTAAAACTCAGATTTTAGACCACAATACCTAGGTTTATATCATAATCATGTCACCTAAAAGCTACGCAACCATAGACAAGTCACATAAATTGTCTTTACCTAATTTTTCTCTCCAGCAAAGTGTAGATAATAATAGTTTTATGTTGGTGATAGCTATACATTAACATTAATATTGTTGTTATTAATTTTATTGTTATAATAATACAATAAACGTAGTTAAAGAACAACTCTCAGACTGCAGGCAAAATTTACTATCAGTGTTTCTCACCCCCCAGTATTCTTTCCTATTGTAAAATCTTATTCTGAGAATCACAAAATGATCAAAATCGTGTTTCCATTACAGCTCTATGTCTGAAACCAGAGATAAAAGATGGAACTTTGTCTCTGGACAAGTATAAGTATGTTGAGTCTGAAACTGTCACTGTCCAGTGTGACTCTGGCTATAGTGTGGTCGGCTCTCCGAGTATCATCTGCTCAGAGAACAGAACCTGGTACCCAGAAGTGCCCAAGTGTGAGTGGGTAAGTGGCAGACACTTCGGGGTATTCTATCACATTGTAAAAATTGTAACCTGCTCCAGAGCACTGTTCCAGCCAACACTGATGAGATCTGACTTTTATTGGGACTCATTTCTGAGTTGTTTAAATCAATTTCAGAATCAGCACTTTTACTCTCAAAGCACATGTTGAGCTCTTAAAGCAAGTTCTAATTCTCTTATTTTATAGCAAGAAAGACCAAGCCCCTAGATAGGAAGGTTCCATAGATATAGGCAACCTGGCTCCCAGCTCTACATTTTCTATTACAGTAAGTGCTATGCTTTTGCATAGACATCAGATCCATCCCTTCAGCTGACCCTGAAGAAGTTCCCCGGGTATCTTCTGCAGTGCTGTTCCTTCTCTGCTTAGTTTCATTGCTGCCTTAGAGCAATGCTGGTCTCGATCTTAGGGCAAATACTTTGCTGAGATGCACAAAGTATCTTCTGATTTCTTGCATCAGTCCTAAGGAGGGTCTTGATACTCCAATTTTATTGTCATCAATAGGCATCCTGAAGTAATCTTATACCTTCACAGTTTGGAGAGAAGCCTCTCAAACCATCCTTCTATCTCTTTTAGGAAGTTCTCTCGGGCTGTGAACAAGTACTCGCAGGCAGGAAACTCATGCAGTGTCTCCCAAGTCCAGAGGATGTAAAAATGGCCCTGGAGGTGTATAAACTGTCTCTGGAGATTGAAAGATTGGAGCTACAGACTTGAAGTGGAGCACCAGTCAAAAATCAGTACATCTATTTCCCCTCTCTTCCCCTTAAAAACAGAGAATTAGGTACATTTCCCTTATTAGCAACTCTACTGGTCCTTAAGTGCTATTATTTACTGAAAAAATACCTGTGTTAGAAGAATCTTTGAAATTTTTGATGCCACTGCTAATGTGGAACTATTGGTGGTTTATATCCTATCTCATTTTAAGCTTCTGCTTCCTTAGGTTTGGTGGAATGGCAAAAATAAATAATCACCTGTCAAAAATGCAGTATCTTTGTTTTCACTTTGATTCCCTTGGAATGAGAAATTAGGGCCCTATATCAATCACTTCCTGATGCTTCTCAAATTAATGCCTCTTTTCTATTTTCATACTGGAGCCTTGTCTGAGCTGTATTTACACTACATCTTCACTTCCTACTCACCCTTCAGTGCCCAGGTCAAATATTACGTCTTCCTCCGTCTTTTCCTTTCTCTTTCTATTGATTACCAATATTTTCTCTGGAACAACTTCTCAGTTCCTCTTTATATTTAAGGTATATTTGGTTTTGCTTGACATACACTCCATCCAATAATAACCAGCTTGGATGCCTTTGAAAGCCTGTGTGAAACCCAAGTATTCTTCTTGAGCATGTCCAAGTCTTCCCATCCAGTGTGATCACTCTTTTCTTTAATACTTCAACTAAAATAGCTTTAGTGTCTCTTTTAGGACAGATTTTCCAGAAGCAGACCCTGAGAAGAGAATTTGTGTGAAAGTAATTTATTAAGGAACTTCTCCAAGTTCTCAAAGGAGAAATGGGAAAAGGAGTAAGGTAAGCAGGATGGGACAGGGAAGGCACGTAGTAGGGTGACCAGGCAAAGTCGAAGGAGGGTGGCTTAACCTTGACCCAGAAGGGAACCCTGGACTATAAGTTTGTGTACATTTTGTCCCAATTCCAGGTAAAGGAACTGGGCTTTCATTCTGCTGTGCCAACCAGTTATTGGTTATCATGAAGGCACATGAGCCCCCAGGGCATCCAACTCTTTCTGTGTGACTACAAAGCTGACTTGCAGCCTGAGGGGAGTCCTCCCAAAAGAGTGGAAGTATAACCCTAAGAAACCAGAGTACACAGAAGCCTGCAGAGTAGAGCACAGAAATGGTAAAAGGTCTGAGGGCCTGGGTAGAGCTTTCAATGCTTATCCCACACGTGTTATTCTTATATCTCTGGATATTCTGGGGAGCCTTATAATTTCTTATGGTCACCTCTTCTTCCATTTTTTTGCCTCCCCAAATGTCATTCTCACTCATGCTTACTTAGCTACTATGGCTGGCCTCTGGTTCTTCACTGCATCTTGATCAATTATAGAGAACATCACCTCTTTTCTTTGATTTCTTCAAAATAGCAATCACATAAGATAGTTGCATAGCAGACTTTTACTAACGCTCTTGTTAACAGAGGGATGTCTGGCTGGCTGCACAAGACTGGACTTTCACATCGAATGTTACATAACTGTGATCTTAAAAGACCATTGCCTTTCCCTGCCACCAGGAACCTCTTCTAGCTGACTTTCTCTGCATGACCCTGCCAGCCTCCAGAATTTTCTGGTCTGATGCTTTCCCTCCTCCAGTCACTCCTTATCACACTTCATCTGTTCTTGCTATCACTGCCTCGGAAACCCATTTCTTTTTACTTTATTAGGGAAAGCATTTTAGCAATCTGTCTTTCCCTAGTTTCAGGGATTTCATATCCAAAAATCCATGAATGTACTCAGATAAACAAAGGACTATCCATTCCAGGTCTGGGCGCCAAGCTGCAGAGAAGATTCAGAGGCATCTCTGAAACCTGAGTCTCATATTTCCTCCCCTGCAAGTCTCCATCCAGGGCAGTGTGAAGACCTTTCCACACTGATGTGAATTATGCCACAATCTTTTCATGTGTTAATTCTAAATTAATTACACATAATTATAATTATAGAAGTAATATATGTGCAGGAAAACAAGAATTCAAACCTTACAAAGGGATTTACAAAAAATAAAAGATTCTTCCCTCTTCTGCCTCATGTGATATGAACTCATATCACATGAATTTTTATCTCTAAACATATATTTTGATTTCCTGCTACAAAATTGATCAATCTAGCGTCGACTTTCCCTCTCTTCTCTCTCTCCATTGGTCAGTCTCATTTAATTTTATATATTTTTAGTGATTACTTATCTTTAAGGCTTTAAATAATGTACTTAAACCTCTATTATTTATGCAACTTTATTTTTAATAATTTAATATTTTATTAAAGTATTACAAACAAATAATTAAAAACTCAAATAATCCAAAAAAAAACCTTTTAATGAAAACCCTAAGATTCTGATCCACTCAATTCCACCCTTTGGTCTCTTTCCCCCAAAACAACCATTTTCAACTCCTTTAGCTCTGTGTTACGATGTTTATCTACATATTTCCAAATAATATTCTTATTATACTTATGTTTATTATTTTTAAACATTATGTATTGACTGATTAAGCAAATCTTCATCTTTGCTAAGCCAAGGTAAGCTTAACAGTGATCTGTGAATATATTGCTTTACAGCTCTTTAATTTTTAAGGCATTAATAATTTATCTTGTTTTCTTGTTTAGTTTTCTATGTTTCTATTGCTGATTCTTGCTACATGCTCCAAAAGATCTGTCATAGTCTAGCAATCTATTTCCTAATGCTCAGACATGTCAGATGCTGTTTTAATTCCACATGCTTCTCCACCATCACTCCTGGATACTTTCTTCCCAGGCTCTCTTTTCAGTGATTCTGAAATAAATGGTTTACTTTTAAATCTTAGGTCTTCTCTTTGCTGTTCTCTTTATTACTTTGATTCCAAGTCTTTGTTCTGGTGTATTTCCTCATTTTTGTTGGAACAGATCCTTCAGAAGGTGACTGGGAAGTAAATTTTTGAGTCCTTACATGTTTAACTTTTTTTTTCTACTCTCATAGTTAATTGATAGATTGTTTGCATGTAGAAGTTTGTGTTCTCAGAATTTTGAAGGTATTTTTCCACTGCCATGTGCCTTCCATTTCTGCTATGGAAGAATCCACGGTATTCCAGTTCTTGTTACAGTGTTGTTGATTTTTATCTTCTCTCTCTCTCTCTCTCTCTCTCTCTGGGAGATATTAGTATCTTCTCTTTATCCCTGTGGCCTTGCTGTAATATGTTTTTCATACATTAACTTGGGTACTTGTTGGGAATTTTTGACCTGTAAACACATAACCTTTAGGTCAAGGAAAAATTTTAGAATTTTTTTCTGTTATTTTCTGTTTTCATTTTATTTTGTCTTATTCCTCCACCCCACCCACCTCAGAACTTCCTTTAGTAAAATATTGTTTTAACCTTTTTTTTTTTTCTGTCCTACTTCCCATATCTTGTTTTTTGCGCCTACTTTTGGGAAGATTTTCCTGACTTTGTATTTTAAGATTTATATTGAAGACTAAAGTCTATCACATTTTAATTTCCAGTAACTTGCTCTTGTTCTCTACATGTTCTTTTAATGTATTATTCTGTTCTTTCATCATAAATTCAATATCATTTTTTCTGTCTCTGAAAATACTAATTATAGGTGGAGTTTGGGGGACATTCCTTTCTCTCTATTCATACAAAAGAGTGGGACCCTTAAATATTGATTGATATCTCTGCATGTTGAGTGAGGCTTCTCTACTGGTGAACTTCTTTGTAGCATGGTGGGGCGCAAGAAGGTTTAACTATTTGTATGTTTGTTTTATTTTTAAATGGGACATGTATCTATCGGTCTTTTCTTAGGAGATGTTCAATGCCTTCTGAGAAGATTTCTGTAATCCCTTCCTTACTGATTTATCGACCTTAGTCTTTTCTCTTGAGTTTCTAACACTTATATGTACTACTATGTAAAATGAAGAAACGTGTTTCTTCATAAAGCTAAGTTTATGTTCAGCTTCACTGTCCTTTCCACCTGTCAACCTCTATCAACATACTATTATTTTTATATTGCATCATTTATAGCCCTTTGATTCTATTGAGTATCTCTGACCACTACCCACTGAAGGTAGAACTAACCTCTGTCATATATTGTACTTACCATTTCATTTGTGGGCTTTGTTCACAGTAAGTATTCAAAAATCATTTCATAAAAGGATGTTTAAATTCCATGAGCTAAGATTTAGTACAAAAGATCAATTTTTAAAACTCTTTGCTGAATGGAATTTTTTCTATGGGGCCAAGTACAAAAACAAGTGATCTGTTCATTTTCTGGGTTTATCACGAGACCCCAGGGCCATGAAAAGGGCCAAGAATAGCCAAGATAATCTTGAAACAGAACAAAGCTGGAGAACTAATATTATTAGAGACTTCAAGAAAGATGGATTATAAAGGTGTATTAATTAAGACAGTGGGTGTTGGTGCAAATAGAATCAAGCTGACTATATCCAGAAAAAAATATACATACATATATATTTATAAAATTTATATTTACGGTAGTATATTTACCTTAATTGTGCAAAATTTGACTCTTCAGTGTGGTGGGAAGTGATGTCTTTTCAATGAATATTTCCTACGTTAATTATAGAGCTACATGGAAATATTGTATCTTGACCCTCACCTTACATTTACCAAAAAGAAATCCAAAGTGGATTATAGATCTACATGTGAAAAGTAAAAAAATAAATAAATAACACATGTAAAAGTATATCTTCATGATCTTGAAGTAGGAAGATAACCTTATACACAGCAACATAACAGGCATTATGAAAAAATTTATAAACTGCCTAATATTAAAACAAACATTTCTGTTTATTTAAAGATATCATTAAGGTTCTCCAAAGAAGGTGTACAAGTTGCCAGTAGGCACATGAAAAGGTATTCAGCATCATTAGTCTCAGAGAAACGCAAATCAGAACTGCAGTGGCATACTGCTTCCCACTCACTGAGATGACTGTAATTTTTTTAGTAGAAAATAACAAATGTTGGGAAGATGTGGAGAAATTGGAACACTCATACATTGTTGGTAGGAATGTAAAATGCTGTAGTCGTTTGGAAAAAGGTTGACAGTTTCTCAAAAAGTTAGAGCCCCTATATGATCCAGCAGTTAATTTTCAACCATATATGCAAGAGAATTGAAAGCATATCTTCCTACAAACACATGCATATGAATGTGCATAGCAACATTATTCATAATAACCCCAAAGTGAAAACAACTCAAATGATGAATGGATAAGCAAAATGTGGTCTATCCATAAATGGCATACTATTCAGCCATAAAGAGGAATGAAGTACTGACACATGTTACAGTGTGGATGAACCTTGACAACAATATGCTAAGGAAAAGAAGCCAGACACAAAAGACTACATCCTGTATAATTTAATTTATATGAAATGTCAACTCTATAGAGACAAAAAGTAAACTAGTATTTGCCAGGGGATAGGAGAGAGAGGGAATGCAGAGTAACTGCTAAAGGGTAGGGGGTTTCTTTTTGGGGTGTAGAAAATGTTCTAGAATTAGATAGTGATAGTGGTTGCACAACTTTATGAATTGTAGACTTTAAAATGATAAATTTTGTGGTATGTCAATTATATCTCAAAAAAAAGCTACTGAGTTGAGCTGAATTTTGTCCTCCTCAAACTCATATGTTCAAATCTGTAGTACTCTAGTACTTCAGAATGTAACTGTATTTGGAGATACGATCTTTTGAAAGGTTATTAAGTTAAAATTAGGTCTTTAGGATGAAAAATCTAATTCAAAAAGATACATGAAACCCAAAGTTCATAGTAGTACTATTTACAATAGCCAAGACATGGAAACAACCCAAATGCCCATCAACAGATGATTGGTTTAAGAAGATGTGGTATATATATATATATATATATATACACACACACACACACACACACACAGTGGAATATTACTCAACCATAAAAATGGATGAAATGTTGCCATTTGCATCAACATGGATGGACCTAAAGAATATCATATTAAGTGAAATAAGTCAGACAGAGAAAGACAAATATTATTTTATACCACTTATATATGTACTCTAAAATATAATAAATAATCTTATATACAAAACAGAAACAGACTCCCAGACATAGAAACAAACATGGTTACCAAAGGGAAAAGGGAGTGGGGAAGGAATAAATTAAGGGTATGTGATTAACAGGTACACATTACTATACATAAAATAGATAAACAAGAAGGATTTACCATGTAACACAAGGAACAATATTCAATATCTTGTAACAACCTATATGGGAAGTGATATTTGCAATACCTATGTCCAACTAAAGACTCATATCCAAAATATATAAAAAAAATCTTACAGACCAATAAGAAAAATATAATCAGCCCACCAAAAGAATGAACAAAAGACCTGAAAGAGCCATCACAAAAAGGGATATCCAGCTGGCCAACAACATATGAAAAGATGATCAA